AGTTTCTGAATTGTTGTCATTGTTAGTATCCTGACATTGTGTGGATCACTCATTATAGTTTCTGAATTGTTGTCATTGTTAGTAGCCTGACATTGTATGGATCACTCATTATAGTTTCTGAATTGTTGTCATTGTTAGTATCCTGACATTGTGTGGATCACTCATTATAGTTTCTGAATTGTTGTCATTGTTAGGAGCCTGACATTGTGTGGATCACTTATTATAGTTTCTGCTGCTGTTTCTGAAAAAGGAGTGTGGGTAATGACAGGAGTCAGTGTCAGATCCTTTGTCTGTATTTTAGAAATTAAGATGTACTTGCCACTCTCACACCCTGTCCTATAAGTCAATTAGCTGTTTGGGTGGCTTTAAGTTTTGTTGAGTTATTATCAGTTAGATGTAGATGTTTTTTTTTGTCTTTCTCATGTCGTGGGCTCATACAGATCAGTCGTTATTAAAGAGACTTCCTCTGTCCCTGATTTTTCAATCTACTAAAAACCACGTGGTGGTTTTGTTGGCAATAATTCTAGATTCTGATGACAGTTCCTATATAAATATTCATAAAGACCTGACATGTATGAGTATGTCTTCTAGCTGGTGATCGGGTTGTAATGGTGTGTTTTTCTCATTTCCTTTGCCATCTTCAGCATTCGGGAAACTAAGCAGTCTGTCATTTTATGTATCTTTGAGACCACCATGTCTAGCAGTGGGAGCTAACCTTTCATTTTTTCTATTGTGAACTGTGTCGTCAATGTACCTAAACTAAATTGTGGCTCATAGCTACATAGCTATGTTTCTCTTCGACAGAGGATATGTCCTTTCCAAACAATAGTCTGTCTTTTAATATAATAAAATATAAACCATACCTGAGTGAAAACCTAAGAAGTCTTTAACATCTTATCCAGCAGAAATGTGGATGTCGATCTTGAAATTTCTATATAAATAATGTGCTAGTGTTTGTCTGTCTGGAATCTTTCTCACCAACATCCCGATCAAACACTCTAAATCCCATATCTTTAGAAAGTCCCTTGTCCAAGGAGCCTTGTCCAGATTGCATATTGGCTTGACAAAATTATAATGAGTAACTTGGGTTGAATTTTGTACTTCTTGGAGGGGTTGTAAATACATTAGAGAAGAGGGGATACCCAAGGAGAACATCTCACAATTCTCACACTAGGAGAAATGCAGGATGTTTTTAAGTATTGCCTTATAAATTTAAGAACTTAAAACTTGCATACTATTAAAATATGGATTATTAGCTACATTTTTTATGCTATATTTATTCATAATCCATGATAAGAAAGTACTTCAATTAAATTGTGACTGTAATTCACAAAAACCTTGTAGGCCCTTAATGAGACAGTTGTAACTCACAAAAACCTTGTAGGCCCTTAATGAGACAGTTGTAACTCACAAAAAACCTTGTAGGCCTTTAATGAGACTGTTATATAAAAGTTACATTTCTATGAGTTTGTTTGTCTGACCATGTACAATTTTTTCAACTAGACTAGAATTTATTAAACTAACATGTAATGATTTCAAGAAAGCATAGTTTAATGTTGTGCATGAAAATGATAGAATAAGGAAAATTTAAGCAAGGGCATGAAAATTACCACAAATGTAGGATATAGATTAATTGGTATTTAAACTATGATCAAGTAATTAACCAATGATCACAACTGGTTAAATAATTTTAATTAGTTAACAACTAAAGTTTTGAAGAAAGATCAATTTGTGTTTAATTAAACTTTTTGGAAATGTAACTTTAATAGAAATGTTTTTGTTAAACTGTCATTATACATTTATTACAGCTTGGATTGGAAGGGAGTAAACTGGATATGACTTCACTCATAGAAGAGGAAGCAAAAAAAGCAGTAGTCCAAGAAACCCCCAAAATAAATCGAGCCTTCTTGATCACAGACTCCAGTTCAGGTGGTCAGATACTAAAAACTGAAGGAGTAAACTTACGTGTGAGTTGTTGATAACTTCAACTAAATAATGATATGTTACACAATACTACATCAAATCAGAAAGTTAGTTGTCAAATTTTGTTGCTGTAAATATGAACTTTCTGGAGTAAAATGAAAATTGCACCATTCTGTTTATTTAACCTTAGTTTAAATCTATCAATTAATAGATTTTCCTTTGTTATTAAACTTGGCCAATATTTTAAAATCTTTTCTTTTGACACGTTCGTTACAACTGTTTAATGCATGTTTCTTCGTACGTAAGTATGACATGATCTCAAACTTGTGTGTTTTTAACACCCTAGTGATTGTCTCTGTATAATCGTAATTACTATTTTTATATCTAAAAAAAAGTTTTATCTTACACAGTGGCTTAAATACACATTACAATTCTGATGCATTATTTTTCTTAACCAATATGTAATTTTAATTAACGGATTTTTGATATATCGTAAAAAATAAAAGTAACTTTTTATTTCCATACTTTTCATGTGAACGATACTGGAAAAGAATTAATTAACAGTTCATTAAATGTTTGTCATAAAGAGATGTCATCTTTACTGATTAACTCGTATGTTTGATGAACCAGTATTTCTGTTAATTTTTTCTTAAAAGATAATTGTATAAAACTTGCGAAGTGAAAATATAGTCCCGTAAAGGTATTTTTGTGGAAAATCATATTTTCACTAAGAAAGGTTGTTTAGGATTATATTGATGTCCAACAGTCAATATCAGAATATTTACTGTTTAACAAACTCTTAACATGATAAAGATGATAATTAACTTTTATAATATATTGACTTGAACTATAAAGGACAATCCTCAAGCTACTTTTTCTTTGTGATGACAAAGAAACTCATTTATAAGTGCTGAGGTTAATCTTGACTTCATAGCAATCACATCCAGCTGAATTATTAAAATCTCATTTGATCATTATGGTCTCATGTAATGCTACATTAGTTTATGAAGACTATTTAAGTTAGCACAGCAAACCTGTTTATTGAAAGTTATTTCTTGTGAAAGTTCAGAATGCTTTTTTTGTTTGGTATATTAATTTCTAACAAAAGGTTTTAGCAACTTAACTAAGGAACCAGACAACTGATGATTATATGTGTAACCTAACTAAGGAACCAGACAACTCATGATTATATGTGTAACCTAACTAAGGAACCAGACAACTCATGATTATATGTGTAACCTAACTAAGGAACCAGACAACTGATGATTATATGTGTAACCTAACTAAGGAACCAGACAACTGATGATTATATGTGTAACCTAACTAAGGAACCAGACAACTGATGATTATATGTATAACCTAACTAAGGAACCAGACAACTCATGATTATATGTGTAACCTAACTAAGGAACCAGGCAACTCATGATTATATGTGTAACCTAACTAAGGAACCAGACAACTCATGATTATATGTGTAACTTAACTAATGAACCAGACAACTCCTGGCTGAGTAGTATCAACACTTTAAAGTTCTATGGCTGAATAGTATTAATACTTTAAAGTTCCATGGCTGAGTAATATTAATACTTTAAAGTTCCATGGCTGAGTAGTATCAACACTTTAAAGTTCTATGGCTGAGTAGTATCAACACTTTAAAGTTCTATGGCTGAGTATTATCAACACTTTAAAGTTCTATGGCTGAATAGTATCAATACTTTAAAGTTCTATGGCTGAGTAGTATCAATACTTGAAAGTTCCATGGCTGAATAGTATTAATACTTGAAAGTTCCATGGCTGAGTAGTATCAATACTTTAAAGTTCCATGGCTGAGTAGTATTAATACTTGAAAGTTCCATGGCTGAGTAGTATCAACACTTTAAAGTTCTATGGCTGAGTAGTATCAATACTTTAAAGTTCCATGGCTGAATAGTATTAATACTTTAAAGTTCCATGGCTGAGTAGTATCAACACTTGAAAGTTCCATGGCTGAGTTGTATCAACACTTTAAAGTTCTATGGCTGAGCAATATCAATACTTTTAATGTTACAAAATATACACAAACTTAAGCCTAACTTGTTGTTTCCTTAAAACACTGCACTTTACTATTGCTACGTTCTAACTTACAGTGAGTTGTCAATTAGGATCAGCCCATCAATGAAATAGCCATTGACAAAGGGAATACAGGGTGGTAAGACTGATAAACTTTTAAGTCATACCTATACCTGTCCTACTCCATTACTCCGACTACTCTACCCCTGAATATATCGTGTGGAATCCCAGGATTCTGCAGAACACAGTTGGGGAAACAGTGTTATAGAAGATAAGTTGGTAATACTTTTCTAATCTTTAGTAAATGTTAGAAATCGGTAAAAACAAATTGTAGTTTCTACAACTGTGGCATTAACTATACGTTTGTGATGAACTTATAAGTAGAGAATTATTTACAATTTTATATATTTCATTTTGTATTGCAGGAAATGTTTAATTATGACCGAATTCTCGACCTAAATAAGATCTACAGTAATGACATCCATGCTGTAGCCAGTACTTATGGAATCGAAGCAGCTACAAGATCAATTGTGAAGGTAAGGAAATTGTATTTATTTAAACTTAATAGATTTAGAAAAACAAAAAACCTGAGCACTTTCAAAGGTGGATCTTTCCTCATTATTTTCTCAATTTCAGCCACTTATCTGCCTTTTTTTTTAAAGCACTAGGTGGTAGAATCTTCTAATCATAAAATGTTTACGAACATAAAATGATATTGACAAATTTTTTCATTTCGTAGGAAATTACAAACGTGTTTGCAGTTTATGGAATTCAAGTAGATCCTCGTCATCTATTGCTTATTGCCGACTACATGACATTTGATGGAACTTACAAGCCATGTAATAGAATCGGTATGGAAAGCAGTGCCTCACCCCTTCAACAGATGACGTTTGAAACAACAATGAATTTTTTGAAGTCAGCTACACTTTCAGGTGAGAATCTTGGAGTTAGAACAGAGTAGTAGTATTTACATTTTTAATTTCGTTTTAACTAAATATGTTTGTTGTTTCAGGTTTTCAAGATCCACTAAAGTCACCATCTTCAAGACTTGTCCTTGGTCATTTAGTGGCAGGAGGAACTGGATGTTTTGATTTGCTTCAACCTAGAATTAGTCTTTCAAAGAAATCCAGAAAGTGACAAAAGAATAAAATTTGTATTGTATGAACTTAATATTTGTAAATATGACACACGTATATATGTGTAGTTCAAGATATTTGTTTAAAAACTTAGACAAAATAAAGTAATTTTGTGACAAAACCTTAGATATCTAAGTACACTATGTTACACAAAGAGACTCATTTACACCTCGGAGTTTTGTTTAAGCAAACATGGGACAATTTCTCTTCAGTAACATTCTGGACAATTAAAGGAATTCCGGTCAGTGTCCAGTCAGATAATACAAAGGTTACAAAATATATTTACATGTGTTGACACAAACAGTTATCTCTTCTTAACCTTGAGACTATTAAACTTATTTTACATTAAGAACATTTAATCTACATAAGCCCTTATTAAAACCTCTCGACGAGCCACAAAGAATTTCTATCTGCTACTTGAGTAGGTCAGAACCATCCCCATACTTTCTCTCAACCATATATTTCTTAATAAAACAAGCCCAGAATTCTACATCAAGATACCTTTATCAAGCTGTAAAGCAATCTCTGGACAAGTAATGCCTTTGCTCCATATTGTATTAGATTTCTTTTTTTAAGGTGTATTAATCAGTGCTGCATAACTGTCCTTCTACCTCATTAAGTTAGTAGCAGTCAGTATCAACTTATTGTCCTTTTACAAAGCTATTGGTTTCAGAAGCTGAGTTTTGTACTTCCACACATTCTTAATGTCATTTCACATTATTTTTAGCCTATATTTTATACGATTTGTTTTAAGGTTGAGTTACATTGGGTTGAGACACACAAGGTTAGGTTAGGATTGATAAAGTCACATTTAATTTTATGGTTAGGGTTTTCTCAAGGCATATTACAACTGGAGGAGTCCACAATGCATCAAAACACCAGAATAAGTTTGGCTAAAGTTAAGTTAGGATGTTTTCCAGGTGTAATCATTCTTTATTGAGTGGCAGTTAGTGTCATCTTGATTTATTCATACTACCATTCTTCTACAAACCTGTTGGTTTCAGAAGCTGTGTCTTACTCTTTTATACATGCAAAATATTGACTTACAATGTTACATTATCTTTTGACACAATTTTTTTCTGAATTTTTGTAAGCTTAGGCTAAAGCTAGGCTAGATTATGTGAGGTTACACTAGATTATGTTAGGCTAAAGCAAGGTTCGGTTACTTGAGGTTACACTAGATTATGTTAGGCTAAAGCTAGGTTAGATTACGTGAGGTTACACTGGATTGTTAGGCTAAAGCAAGGTTAGATTACGTGAGGTTACACTAGATTATATTAGGCTAAAGCTAGGTTAGATTACGTGAGGTTACACTAGATTATGTTAGGCTAAAGCAAGGTTAGATTACGTGAGGTTACACTAGATTATGTTAGGCTAAAGCAAGGTTCGGTTACTTGAGGTTACACTAGATTATGTTAGGCTAAAGCTAGGTTCGGTTACTTGAGGTTACACTAGATTATGTTAGGCTAAAGCTAGGTTCGGTTACTTCAGGTTACACTAGATTATGTTAGGCTAAAGCTAGATTAGGTTAAATCAGATTTATGGCTCTTTTTTTTCTGTTTTATTCTTTCCCTACTTCATTCCTTTTGTATAGAATTTGTTTGTTGTAGCACTTAATGTATACTATACTATTAAACTAATGTTAAAAAGTAGGATATTAAAATAAAATAAAACAGAAGTAAATGAAATACACAATGAAAAAAAATCACAATAAATTACACATTAACATAAAGTTAAAATTAACATAAAAATGTTTACCCCTGTTTTCTTTATTTCTCTTGTATTATATTTGTGTGCTGTCATTGTACACAGTACACACTATACTGCTAAGCAGTATCCTAAAGATAAACTAAGACAATAAAAAATAGGATATAAAAACAGAAATGAAGAAGTAAACCGTTATTACTTAAAATAAAGCCATATTTCAACAAGTGTACTAGAAATGTTGAAGTGAAGCTTATGTTTAATTTCATTACAGTAATCCTTATTTAAACTATTAATTGTAAACCAGATGTGATTAGTCTTCTTTATCTGATACTTGGTGTTTAGTCTTTATCTGACAGTTGATGTCTAGTGTTTAGTCTTTTTTATCTGATAGTTGATGTGTAGTGTTTAGTCTTTATCTGACAGTTGATGTCTAGTGTTTAGTCTTTATCTTACAGTTGATGTCTAGTGTTAAGTCTTTTTTATCTGATAGTTGGTGTTTAGTGTTTAGTCTTTATCTGACAGTTGATGTCTAGTGTTTAGTCTTTATCTTACAGTTGATGTCTAGTGTTAAGTCTTTTTTATCTGATAGTTGGTGTTTAGTGTTTAGTCTTTATCTGATAGTTGGTGTTTAGTGTTTAGTCTTTATCTGATAGTTGGTGTTTAGTGTTTAGTCTTTATCTTACAGTTGATGTCTAGTGTTAAGTCTTTTTTATCTGATAGTTGGTGTCTAGTGTTTAGTCTTTGTCTAACAGTTGGTGTCTAGTGTTTAGTCTTTGTCTGACAGTTGGTGTCTAG